GGAGAGCCACTCAGTGTAGACAATAGAGATATTGATGGACCAATGATTTGATTCAATGCAGCTTCTTATGTTCTGGTAACTGCTCACATGTTTGGAGAGAGCAGATAAACAGGCAGTGACATCAAGGAGGTGGAGTGCCAGGGAACTCTTGGGATTGTCTATTGGTCTTCTACTGGGATGTGGGCCTCAGCAGATGCCTCACATTGCTGACTCCAAGTACTGGATCCAATTGTAAGTCATGACCCATTGCTGGTAGAAGAACAGGGAACCTATGGGATAAAGCCACCAGACATTACCCCTAGCTCTCAATTAGCTCTTGTAGTTACTAGGCAACTCTAAATGTATGCAACACTCCAAAACTCAAACTCAATTAAAAATATTATGTCTGAAGAGTATATGTAATCCTTTCTGGTTGTCTCCCTGGTGGTTTTTAAAATAAATCATTTGTGCTCCTCCGCAGCAACTGGGATCTCTGTCATTCTGCTGCTGTTGAGAAAGCTGACTCCGCAGGAGGGGATTTGTTACAATTCTCAACATGCTCAGGATTACATTTGCCAGTTCTGATCATCATATACAGCTTAACCATAGCTTTCCGACTTGTGCAGCTTTTCCAGCAGGGGTTTCAATGAGAGTAGAACCAAATTGTCACAGGGTACTTTGCCCTTCCCTACCCTACACCTGAGAATTTTTCCACGATTTGCTCTTTCATCTAGGAAAAGAAAGGCAATTTGCAGAAATCCACCCCCCAACCCGAATACTCTCTGCCATTCATTGGGGGTGGGGGAAGAGGGAGGTTAGTTGCTTCCATTCCACCAAGTGTTCCACCCAGCACTACCCTGGAACAATACTAGGTCTGGGCCATGGTGCAGGATGCAAAATGGTGGCAGTGCTGCCAAGCCCACAGCTGAGAGTTCGGGCATCTGCTTTACATGCAGAAGGTTCAATCCTCAGCATCTCCAGCAGAGCTGGGAATTTTCACTGCCTGAAACCCCTGAGATTGGCTGCCACTCAGTGTTGGCAATACTGAGTTAGATGGGCAGGTGGTGTAGGCAGCTTCCTCTATTCCTAAAGCTGTTGCTGGTACTTGCAGCAGAAAACAATTAAAACTTTGATGCTGCTACTGCTTCTAATGGTGAGCCCCATCCCCAAGGAACAGTTGGAGAATTTCCACACCCTCTGGAGAAATTCACTGGAATTTCTCTGTCTTCAAATAAAGGTAGAGAATGCAAAGAGTTATGGAAAGCTGTGTGTGTAGCTCTGGTAGTCACACTTCAAAATATATATTTATAGACTGCCTCTCACATCAAGCACCCACTTATACCTCAATTGCCAGAATTTGTTTCATTTTTTAAATAAAGAAGTCTGAAAAATTATATGCCAAAGAAGTATATTACACTTACAACAATAAAGAGCCAAGAGTTATGTGATTCTATTCTTTTGCACCATCGTTTTTCAAGTATTACTACATGAACATTTTTATACATCTGTACGCTTTGCTGTTTGTATCTGTTTATGTGCTAGTTACTTTAGGAAACCTGGAGTGTAGATGAGCATCATATTGCCTGCATAAGAAAGTGAGAATTGTTCTCTCTATTTTTCTTTTTGCAGAACCAGTATAGAAACATCTTCCTTCACATGGAGAGCAAAGAGTCAGATGGGAATTAAAGAAAATCCATGCAGACCAGCTTGACATTTAGATGTTCAGAAAACCCCATGAAGTTCACCTAGTCGAACCGCTGCTCCACACAGGATCTGCAGTACAGTCTGCAACCAGTGGTGGCTTGTGCCCATTGGGACTGGTAGTGCTGAAGGCAGGGAGACCAACAGCTGATGGAGTCAGAGCCAAGGACAGGTAGGGCCAAACAACTGTAGTGCTGCTCCACATCCTCCTCTCTGCTGAATTCTACAAGGGCAACACTGAGCCACAGTCACCCCTAGACTATTGAAGGCAAGAAGTGGGGGTTGGCTGAGGTTGGTGGAGCAGTGCCCCATTTGCCCTGATGAACCAGCCTCCCCTGACTGCAACGACAGCATCCCTGACAGATGCCTGCCCAGCTATTGCTTAAATTCCATCAGTGAAGAAGAACTTGCCGCTTCTGTTTCACTGTGAAACAACTCTTAACATTAGGAAGTGTCCCCTAAAGTCTAGCTAGAATATGTATCCCTGCAATTTCCACCCACTGGTTCTTAAGCTGCACCTCTGTCCCATCCCAAAGCAACATTCTTGGAATGGGAAAGCCAGTAAACCTAAATAGGAGTGGGGGAACTTTGGCCCTTCAGCTCCCCACCCCTCTGGTAAGGGCTCCAAGTTGCCATACTTGTGCCACTGACACTCTGCTATCTCACCTCAATAACCACCACTGGTCACACATTGCCAGGCAATTTTGGGAGTTTGGGGGAAGAAAATCAGGGGACACATATGCAACATCCCCCCCCCAATTTAATTTCCTAACTAGAATTTGCATTTTCTAACCACAGAATTTGATGACCTTGTTATGCAAAGTTAGAATCTTCTGACTCCAGGAATCTTGTAGCCTTGCCAGAGCTTCCACTTTTGCCAAATACAGAGGGAGGATGTGAATCTAAGGATGACTCTTCTCTCTCTTTTAGATTGTTGCATGCATGAGTACAGATCACGTCTGCCTACAATCTTGGATATTCTACACAAAGCATGACTCAGAAAAAAACATAGAAAAACAGCAAAAGTATAGCACGCAGATCAAAGGAAGTAATAGTACTGCTTTAGTCTGTCTTGGTTAGACCACACCTGCAATGCTGTGTGTAGTTCTGGGTGCCACAATTTAAGAAGGACATTAACAAGCTGGAACATGTGCAGAGGAAGGCGACCAGGATGATCAAGGGTATGCAAACTAAACCTTAAGAGGAATGGCTGAAGGAGTAGGATATGTTTAGCCCGCAAAAGAGGGGACTGAGAGGAGATATGATAGCCATCTTTAAATATCCGTAGGGCTGTTACATAGAAAAGAGAACAAGCTTGTTTTCTCTTGCTCCAAAGGGTAGGACCAATAGATTCAAGTTACAAGAAAATAGATTCTGACTAAGCATCAGGAAGAACTTTCTGATGGTAAGGGTTGTTCAACAGTGGAATAGACTCCCTTGGGAGATGCTGGACTCGCCTTGCTTGGAGGTTTTTAAAGCAGAGGATGGATGGCCATCTGTCATGTATTATCTAGCTGAGATTCCAGTGTTGCAGAGAGTTGAACTAGATAACCCTCAGTGTTCCCTCCAACTCTACAATTCCATGACTCTATGAACATTAGAATGAGTGTTCTTCTCTGCAATCCTCCCCTCCAAATGTGTGAATGGTAACAGCCTCCCAACTAACCATGATTTTCATGGGATTCGAGTCTGTGCAGATGTACACATGTGTTGCAAAACAAGTACCTTGAAATAAAAAGCCACTATGAGTCACTCTCTTGTTTGCCCAAACTCCTTAACACCTGAGGAACTTGCTTTCATGGAGGCTATATATGAGCACAAGCGATGCTATAAAACAGTTAATGCAAAACACAATTTTGAGAGCAAAGCTCTCACCATAACCCTAAGCATGAGAGTAAAACCATTGCTTGTGCTCCCCTAATTACCTCCATTCAAAATTAAAATACTGGGTTGGATGGAGCAATGATTTGCTTTTGTATACAAGACAGTTTCTTATATTTATTAGACAGGAAGCATTTTGATGGCACACAGTAAGCATTTAAGGAAGACGCAGAATTCATTCTGTTGATCCAGTGGCAGAATTTATTACATAAGATTGTGATTTCATGGATAGTCCTGCTGAGTATGGTTACCCCTGCCACTTCAACAAGAGACACCTGCTGCTGTAAATGTCTCCCTACAATAAAAAGACTGCATTGCTTATTCATTTCATTTATGAATCGCTTCCCTTAAAGCATCCCAAAGTGATTTAACCATAAAAACGCATAGAAAAACACTTCCAATTTCATTTATTATGAACCAATCCAAGAGTCAAAGGAACATGCCATGTTCAAGATAAGTAGGTGCTTATACATGCACGATACACACATTGTGTATGTACAGTACACTCGCACTGCAATGAAATCAGAGTTGGCACTCTTGCATGCAGGCACATGTGGTCAATGTGAAAGAACTGAATCATGTTCCCCCATGCCCAGTTCATAAACACTCAGATCAATATATCTAGTATTCATTGTGCAGCTGGTCTCTTGGATTAGAAGCTACTCCATTAGAAAGGCAATACATTTCCTGTTATGAAATGCCCCCCTCCACTCAAATGCACCCACATATAACATCCACAGAATGGACAGAATCATAGAGCCCATACATAAAATCAAAGTCCCATGCAATGAACTGCGATTGCCTGTCCCAACCCCCATAATAACATACGGTGGTCCTCTTGTTGTTTTGCATTCACAAGTGCACACATTAAGCCTGCAATCCTATGCTTAGTATGCAAACCCCACTGAATTCAGCTTCTAAGCTGACGTGCCTAGGATCGCGCTGGAAGACAAAACTGTCTCCTGAAGCTGAAAGAAATCCCCACGTTCTAATATCCTGTTGCTCTGCCCCCTTCCATATAGTAATATATTGCTTAACACAGAGGCAAGGTAGGGTCCTCAGCCAATCCGAAAATATCTGGATTTCTTAGGTGAGAGGGTACTTGATGCAACATGCTACATTCTCTCCCAGACACAATCTGCATTATCCCATACATTCTCTCTCCGCCCACTTATCTTTATGCTTGTATTACACACCGTTCAGTGAACATGCACGTGATGTCTTTCTTCCCCAGACACGCACACATGCACACACTTTTCTCTCCAAGTTAGTGCCACATACACTTCTACCGATCATCCTACACAATATACAGCATAGCCTCTTGCTATTCTCGCTGCCTCTATATTCCTTGGCGACCAGCCAAGGGGAGACGTGCGTAGGACTTTCCCGTGGAAGCATCTAGGGATAAGCCCCTTAGATCCCGGCTATCCTGCCCTTACCTGACAATGCCGTACATGACCAGGATGTTCCCCAAAAGCCCCACCACGCAGACGACTGAATACAGGGCAGTGATGGCGATGGCGATGATGATTGAAGTCGTGTTCTTGATCGGGGACTGACTCGTGGCGTTGGACGTCGTGAGAGAAGTCGACCCGAAGTCTTGAAAGGTGCTGTTGTAGGGGAAATCGGGGTAGGGTTCAGCACCGGGAAAGGTGGACGGCTCCATCTCTGCCGGGAGCTTCTGGATCCCACCACGAGGTCGGGCAGACGGGGAATACTACAGGCTTCCTGGGAGCTGTCCCGTCCTGGTGGTGCTGAAATAAGCGAAGCGCATCGAAATAAACCCAAAACTTAACCAGGGGGTGAGGTGGGGAGTTACCTACCAAGGTAACGACGGGCTCTCTCAGTAGCAACTATGCTAGCCAGAAAGGTCTGACATCTCCTCTAGTCTTTCTGCAAATACTGTTACAGACACAGTACTGCCCTCCCTCCCTTCCTGGTCTGCTGCTGAGCATCTGAGCACGAGAAGCCGTGAATATGCAAGCTCTCCTAATGGTTGTGATTTCTTTCTCTCTCTTTCCCCCTTCTTCTTCTTCTTTTTTTTTTAAGGAGGGGATATCTGACATCTCTCTTGGACGTCGGGAACGACGTACGGGGCTGCAGATTAAAGGGAGGGGGCTGCCCATCAAAACCCTTTCAGGATTGGTGGGGAGAGCAGTTTTACACATTGCTCTCAGCTGCCTTGGAAATGCGGTGCCCCTGCCTAAGGCGTGTTTCTTAGGGAGCTACTGATATCATTAGAGATCTCTAATAGATGTTAGCAATGGAGGCATCTATTAGAGATGTTTAACTGCATTTGAATGGGGGGGGGGAGGGTTGGAGAAGGTTTCCAGTGAATTTATCGTCGAACATCCAAGCAAAACAGCCACTTTATTTTCTTTCTTTTTAAGGCTAATTATAGACGGAAGAAACAGCCACTATGTTCCACCAGAAGCAGTGGAATTGGTTAGCATTAAGCACACAACGTCGGAATAGCAAAAGCACCCAGAGAGGCATTGTCCACGGCAGCCCACCAGTTTTAGAATTCTTTCCCCCTTATTACAGCTCAGTTGTATAGAGCACATGCAATGTGGGCAGAAGGCTCAGTCCCTGGCGTCTTCCAGTAGGGCTGGAGAAGAAAGACTCTTGTCTGCAACCCTGGAGAGCAGTTGCCAGCGAGTGCAGCCATCACTGAGTCAGCTGGCTCAATGGTCTGACTCGAGATAAGTAGGCTTCCTACACAGGATAATTTAGCATTTTTTAAACAGTCATTTTGGCATGGGGTGTCTATCAGTCCAAATAATAATAATAATAATAATAATAATAATAATAATAATAATAATAATTGCTCCAAACAACAACTTTAAACACTGGCCAGTTCAATAGCTTTGTGCCTGAACAGAGTCCATCTATAGAGGTTTTAAAAGCACCAGATAGACCTTATCTTCCAATAGTTACAAAGAAAGAGGAGGCTTGCGTGCTTTCCATTAAAAAAAATGGCAGTCATTTTATCTGTAAACATATTTCCACTACTTAATTGCATTAGTGCTTTCTCTTTGCATAAAATATGGGTTTGTTGCCTTCCTTCCTGAGCACCCTCTTTTTATTCTCAACTCCCCTTCTACATGTTTTTTTAAAAAAACCAAAACCAAAATCCTTACATCTATATGATTTAAATAATAAGAATAATTTTAAAAACCCTACACTTCATGCAAATAGCTCAAGGCAGCATACATAGTTCTCCCCCCACCCAACTGTATCCTCATAACAACCCTAGAGTTAGGCTGAGAGACAGTGACAGGTCCAATAACACTTTGTAAGCTTTGCAACTGGGTGGGAATTTGAACCCAGATCTTCTTGATGCATTGTTAGTTGGACACCCTGGTCTCTCAAAACATTGCCTGTCTCCCCCCCTTCTCCAAATCAGTCCTATTGATAACTGGGTAATCTTTTAATCAAGGACAGCCCTTAGATCTTGCACAGGAAGAGTTCTGTTTTATAATTCCCAGCAAGTTATGTAACTGAATTCATATCCTCATATATGGAGAATATGAAATATCTGTGTGTATTAGATTAGAGACCACCTCTTCAACATTAAACAAGATAAAACCAGGAAGCAGATGGGAAGAAGTGTGCTTGATTCCCAACCCTCCTCCCACCCTTGCTAATAGAAAAGAAGCAGTTTAGGCCTCCAGATATTCTACCGAGGGATGAAAATTGGAACCCAGAACTTCAAAGCAGATTTATGCCATGCAACTGATTGCATCTTAAAGTCTTCCACAATGACACCCAACTGCTTGTTTTTAATTTTTTTATTAAATCCTGTTATAATTCTTCTTGTTGTTCTCTCTCTCTCTCTCTCTCTCTCTCTCTCTCACACACACACACACACACACCCCTCCCCACCTTTCTATTTCTTGCCAAGCTACATCTGTTTGCTTAAGTACCATGTCAGGTCTATGCTCCACCATGCCACAGGGGGCTCCCAAGATGCGTCAGGGATGAACCCCCAGCTCCCCTCCATTAACACCCACATTCAGGAAAAAAAGAAATGGTCTGAATGAGGAAGATGAGGAAATGGAATCAAACTTTCACCTCTTGACAGAGGCTGTGTACACATGTCCATTTACTCTGCATCCAATGCACTCCCACCACTGGTTTGGTAAGCAGTGTGCATGTTAACCACAATCCATATCTATCCTGCTGTTTCTTATGAAATACTGCATTTTGGTGCATTTTCCCTCAAGTCAGCATCAAACTGAATTGAGAAAAAAGAAGAACCTAGCAACGTTTTAAGCCGATAATGTGTACACAGCCAGAGCATTTTCAGGAAGACTTCTTTTACATTCGGAGTTTAGTAATTCACTTTAAAAAAAAATTATTGCTTTAAAAAATCCCTTATTACCAAAATCCTCTCTTCTACTTTCCCTGTTTGTTTGTTTGTTTGTTTGTTTGTTTGTCTGCCTGCCTGCCTGCCTGTCTGTCTGTTTGTCTGTCAGCAGCAATCACGTCTGTACACTTGCCTCTCAAGCATCTTGCCATCCCATAATTTAAGGATATGGAAACTGAGGCCCTCTAGCTTTTGCTGTACTGGAACTCCCACCATCCCTGGTCATGGGCCAAGCTGGCTACGACTAATGGGAGCTGGACTCTCACCACAACTGGAGGGCCGCATGTCTCTCAACCCTGCCATAATTAAAGCAGCAATGCTTAAGGCACATAGGGGGAAAACCACTTGAGTTTGATGTGACATACTTCTGAGGAATCAGGCTTATAATCACACAGCCCAAGAGAAATAAAAAATAGTATACATTTGGGGTTTTCCTATTCATTGTTTTGTTTTTCACACTGTTGCTGCTGTTTGCATGCATGCAAGATTGCACCTGCAATCTATCACAAAGGGGATTTAGAACAAAATGATGCGGCGTGGAATGCTGTTTTTCAGGGTTCTAGACACTTTCAATCCACTGTCCCCCAGTTTTCCTCCTCCCTCGAGAATAAGCTGGCATTCCATGGCCCACCGAGCATGCACATTGGGCTATGGGGGGGGCGCTTTCTTTCTCTTCCTTAGATTTCCCCCCTCTTAAATCCTTTTTGCTCTTTCTGCAAATCTTGGGTCTCCTGAAGTCTGCTTATACTTATGAATGGATAATGCCATGTTGGCTACAACGGCGCTCACAGCCCAGATATCGGAAATGCAGGGAAAGGTGGAGTAGTAGCATCTGGACTTCACCTAAAGCTGGCATTTCTCTCCCGAAGAAGAGTTCTGTCCCACTCAAAAGCTTGCTGCATAGCTGGATGTTTTGTCTTGTCTTGTTTCCCCCCCAAAGCATCACTTTACCTTTTTCCAGTTCCAAGTAGTGAGAGGTTCCAGGGGTAGCACTAAAGAATTTTGTTTGTTTCCAGTGGTTGCTGCTGCAGCCAATGGCAATAAGACCGACAGTAGGTGGAGCCCAAACCACTGACACTCACAGCCAACTAATTCTAGGTTTCTGATGAGTTCTACAAAGGCAGCTGAGAACTAAGGAGGAGGAATCTGGCAAACAGTGCCACCCCCAGGACTGGATCCAAGCAAGGAGACAGGCAGATAAGGGCAGGCTGGCAGTAAACTGAGCTTGGTGGGGCAGCGGCCCGTTTGCCCAAATCAGGCATAGGCAGACTCGGCCCTCCAGATGTTTTGGGACTACAACTCCCATCATCCCTAGCTAACAGGACCAGTGGTCAGGGATGATGGGAGTTGTAGTCCCAAAACATCTGGAGGGCCGAGTTTGCCTATGCCTGGCCCAAATGGACCAGCCTCCACCATTCGTTTCATTTGGCTGGGAGAGAAATAATGATTTATGCTGCCTCTGTGATATCTGCTTTACTGACAAGCATGTAAGCAGGGGTCAGTGGAGGCATATACACTGCCATCAGCAGATCACACAGCTGCTAAGCCTGCACCAGCTCCCCAAAGACAATACCAAGGATGTTTCAGCTCACCTCGTTCACATCTTCACCTGATTTTCTTCCTCAGCCAAACTGGGCATTTCACAAACACACAAACTTCTGCAAAAACACTGGTCTCAGACCCCATCACTGACAATACCATTAAAAAAAATAGATATGGGGTGGGAGTTAGGATAAAGTGCCCTTGCCAAGAGGTCTTATTATCACATGCTCAGTTTCTGAAAAATAATTAATGGTTAATTTCACATTGGTGCTCTTATCTGAAGCATTCGCTCCCCCCACCCCCAAAAAATGTATCAGAGAGTCTTGTGACACCTTAAAGCAAGGGCAGTGAACCCCAGGCATTTCTCTATACCCTTCTTGAGTGCTTTTGACTGGTTCAAAAGTTTCTTCTGCTATGGTTGTAGTTCTTGCTTGGCTAGATGGAGGATTGAGAGGTGTCTGTGTGTGTATGATAAAACCTCTGATTTTTGCATGACTGGAGTGTAGCCTATTGAATAAGACTCACATCCATTGCCCCACTTAATTTTGCCTTCTCCCTTCCCCAACCCAGCATGTGGTAAGTGGAAGGTTGCCCACAAGTTGATGTTCCTCTTGGGCTTAAAAAGATCCACCACCCTCCTCCAGCACACATGCATAGTATGATCTAAAGATGAAGGTGTTTATCGTGGCACAAGGTTTTGGGGACCGTAGTCCACTTCATCAGATCCACAAAGTGCAGTCCTGAATTGGCAGGTGTATATGCACAAAGGGTGTTGGAAGGGTGCAACACAGCTTCCTGAGAGCATTTTGCATGGGTTAAGATGGATAGATGAAGGGACTTCCAGACTACCCCTCTACCTTTATCACTATGCTGACTTCTCTCTTTCTCTTTGATGTTTAGATGGTTTACATCTTAAGTTGCAGCATGTTTACAACTTCTTGGTCCTCCTCACTTTCTTTCTCTGAACTTCAAAGCAAGAGGTCACCTTGGATCTCTCTTCTGAGGACAAAGTGGCAAATATGGTTTCTTTGTTTCTTCAACCAGATAGTTAACTAGCACTATGAAACTCTTTCCTATCAAGAATGTACTTCCTTTCATAAACATAATTATTTTATACCAAGTCTCAGT